TTTAGCCGCAATGCACGTTGGGATATGGTGTTAATGCGATATGATATCCGAAAACATTTAAAAAAAATAAAATAATACTTTATTCCTAGTGTTAAATGAACTGTAAATGGACTGTACTTATATAGCGCTTTATTCAGTCTTTTAATAATAATAATAATAATAGATTTAATTTGTTAGCGCTTTTACAGGTGTTCTAAGACGCTTTACAGATATAGTGAAGATAAAATAAAATAAAATAATTTTAAGACCCCTCAAAGCGCTTTACATACTACATGTCGTTCACCCATTCACACCCAGTCATACAGAGCAGTGTACCTAACTCTAGGAACTAACATTCATACACATTCACACACCGTTGGCCATTCCATCGGGAGCAACTCAGGGTTGCCCAAGGATACATCGACGTGTTGACTGCATGGGCTGGGATCGAACCCACAACCTTCTGGTTGAAAGACGACCGCACTCCCTCGCAGCCACAGTCGCCCTACTTGCTTTTCTCTTTGGAAGTCATCACATAACGGCATTGTAATACACGGTTTGGCTGCATTAAATATTACATATCTGCCGTAGTTCTTTATTTATAGAGCCCTGATGAGAAGACTTCTGGACAAACAGGAGAACTGCCGCAGAAACTGAATATGTGAAGTGGATCATACATATATCAACAATTAAACAACATCTTCAATTTCTCTTCACACAATACGTCTCCTTGCAGTATCAACACTAATTCGGCTGACTTTTATATTTGATCCAATTGGTAGATAGGTTATATTTACACCATAACGGTGCACAGCTGATAGAAAAGGACTTGTAGTTTTTAAAGATATTACTGATTTTCTTTGAATATAAGAATGAAAATACTGAGTTAAGAGAATAGTCAGGGGATTTGGGTGATGGGAGACACACCTATGGAATCAGAATTTCAATAGCTGACCATTAAATGACGAATATACCTTTCTGTCGGTGATGTTTTACAAATCAGATATTAATATGTAGAAGTAAAACGTGAGAAATAGTATAGCAATATCCTGTAAAATTATGTAAAAACATGAATAAAACTACACATCTTCAGATGTTATACATACATAAGTGTCCTACACTAATAATACAAAGTTATGCTGTGTGTACCTTGTGTGCACCGCCTAGTGGTTAAAGCACGTTATTGAATTATTTTTGTTGAATAATGTTATTTGATGAAAACAATATTAAGAGTACATACTTTCATAGGGGGAAAGTAGAAGGTCAATGATAGAAATATAGAATATAAAAATTCAAGAAGATACTGTAAGTGATCTCTACAATAAAACAGTTTAGTGCAGGATGTATAAAGATATTACTATGAGGATGTACTAATTAACCTTTATTAACACATTAAAGAATACTTTAGGTTAAGGTCTTCTTTCAAATAAGAAAAAAGCTTTGGGGGTATCTATCTACAGATAAATATTAAGTACTTAACATCTAATATATTGCTTTCCTGCAACATAGTTACTATGTTGAAGCACTTATTTTAACCAATATTATACACATTAATTATACTCTCATCAGTGGCGGCTGGTCGAAAATATTTTTGGTGGGGCTGTTGATATAGTGAGTAAAAAAATGTTTTGGGGAGAAAAGACCCCTTAAATTAGGACTTCTGGTGATGTAATGGCGCGTTTCCAGTGCAGCGCGGAGCTCGCTTTAATGCTGCGTTCAGACCGGACACGATGCGAATATTCGCTTCGCTCTAAACGCTCCTATCGCATCGCTCTAGTCGCTCGAGTTTCACCGCGGCTGCCAGCTGTGTTTACTCGCATCATTCAAACAAGACGCGCTCGGGAGCTACAACTACAACAAAATGAACATATTTTACCGTGATTAAATTGTAATACACGTTTCTAAATGATGCCGACGTAACAACATACTGATACCGGTTAGTAAAAACCATGAATTAATGCTTTGACAAGTCTGAAGACAGACGGCAGGCGAAAAACCTTTTAGAATGCTTGTTTTCTGAATGGAGCTTGGCTAAGCTAACGTTATATATGCTCCGACCGTCCACACTCACAACAACGGCCTATACAGACATAAATAAACCAGCGACTGTATTCTCCATGACACAGACAGTCTGTGGTTTGTACTTGTTTAACTTTTTTCTAGTTTCTGAACAGATCGTATCTGTCCCCGGCTGTTTGAAGAGCAAGCATGGGAAACAAAAGACAGCATTTACCTGTTTGCATCCAGCTAGCCATGCCTTTCTGGTGTACCAGCTACGTGAGAAGCCTCGTTGATACGTTTTGTCTTTTTCACGAGCTTGCTGCGATATATACAAATCGGGTTGGTCCGGTCCAAGGTCTTTAAGCAACAGTTTATCTCCCAAACTTCTCCTTTCGAAAGGATTGGAGATTAACTCTTGAACGGAATTGGGCTGGGACCGAGGTCCGGCGACTCCACCTGCACACGAAGCCATTCTCATCCAACTCATCCAACACCTTGGTCACTCACGAGTCTAAAAAACAACTCACGTCAACGCACGTAAGCAACGTGGGCGCCAACGTGAGCGCCCTCGTGACCAAAATATTTGACGGCGCTGATTGGCTGAAATTATGTTTCGGCGGCACAGTTTACTATTGAGACTTTTGCAACGTGCTGGTTGCTGCTGTTTGGCTCGGGGGCTCCTTGCACGGCGCCCGGTAATGATAAACTAATGCCACGGTCAAGGCCAGGCAGGAAACATGTGACTTATCAGTAACTTTAGACATCGTAACACAATTTTAAACAAGATTTTATTGTAGATTATACATTTTACTGATACCAATTGTATGATATTTACCTTGTTCATTAAAAATAAAAATATAAAATATATATATTTTTTAATATTTTTTTGTTTGTGGGAAGAGGTGGGGCGGCGCCCCTAGCGCCCCTATGGGCCGGCCGCCACTGACTCTCATGTATGTAGATAGGATAATAAATGTGCAGAATTTGACAGTTTAATGGTGGAGGTATACTGTACACACATATTGATAGATGTCTTGTAATGCACTCTTGAGGAACCTGTGACCCAAGTTTTTCATTCATTGCATAACTACACCATAGTTGTGTATATGATATGTCAATAAACCTTAGAAAATCTTGAAATCTTGAAAGGGATGTGCAAAATAGCCATTATATACAGTTTTTAATTAACTATTAGTAGAGAATAACGATTAATTAATATACTTTATAGAGATCTGTAGATACATGTTTAGTCTTCTCAAGCACCAACTATCAAATATCTCTCCTGATTGTTGGCACTTGACAATCACTTTCCCTGAATTTTACTCAGATGTAACTAAAGTCTGATTTAAGGGTTGTTTATATTTCACATCATTAATCAGAATCTGCAAAGTAACTAAAATAAATGTAGTAAAAATACCAGGTTAACCTCTGAATTGTAGTGGAGTAGAATTACAAAGTAACAATAAGCTGTCATGTGGGTATATATTAATGCTGCCCATTATGGATACAAGCGATTTTCACCCATGTAGTAAGTACATGTTTTAAATGTGTACACACCAATGTGTTTCCTTATCCCCTAAACCTCCAGGGCTGTACACAGTTTAATACTGTCAACTTCTAATTTTGGGAAAAACGAAAACGTCTTTTAAAACTACAATTCCCAGTAGACACGTGCCATAGAGAACATGTTGCGAAACACAATAGCCAGCATGTGTAGTTCTGGGGGAGCGTTCGAGTCCAGTTTTGAATAGTCTGCCGTGGTTTCGTTCCATTTCAAAGAGCTTGACGCTCGGCGTAACCTTGGCGCACTGCCGCTCCAACATCCAATCCCAGAGCTTGAAGATTAATCACGGGGTTTGTCAACGGGACTGTAGTCCCAAACGATAGCTGGGGATTATGGGTAGTGTAGTGTCTTCGGCCATCATAATCTCTGAATTTAGTTTTCGGATCTCATATCGCATTAACAACACCACATCTGGCGACACAGAGATCTTCTGTTACTGTCCTTTCTTCTTAGAGGAAGTACAGGAACACGTAACTCTGGATTTGTTTTAATGTTTGAGGTGCAATAACCGACACAGCAGCTTTTTGGCATGTTAAAACTATTATTTTCTGCCTCGCTCATGAGAGTAACAGCTGGCGAAATGACAGCCTCACCTACTGATTTTAATTGAACCATATATCGAGCCCGATTCTCGATTTCAAATGTGTGCTCTAAAATGATATTTCTAAATGACTATTATCATTATTATAAGCAAGACAATAAATGGCAAAGATATGTAGAAAATAAACGTATTTAAGATACGTTCATAACAAACGTAACGTGGGAGAAAATAAGTTTCTAGCTAAACGTAATTGAGAATGCAGTTTAGTTCTGTGGGAACGTAATTTTTAGGAGACAGGGTTGCTGCAACCACCTGACCTGCACTTCATCCCCTCATTAGTTCTGCTTTTACTAGTTCCTGTATTTTGTTAAGCCTCGTGTTTTTTAACACACAGTTCTGTTCTGTTATGACTTCAGTTTAAAGTATCGTCCTCCTTCATTTCACCTTGAACAATTTGGGTGACCTGTGATGGGGTCAGGGCACATGTGGATGGAATGTTTGCTAGAGGGCACTGACAGGTTTGACATTTGTTTTTCTCTGTTATAAGATAGTGTAAAGCTTGGTTAAAGTTAGGTTATGATTTTGATCGTGTATTAAAAAAAGAAAATAAATAGTACAAACTGTTCTGAACTGTTTTATATAACTCCATTGCATGTAACAATTTAACTAATTATATACAGTACAGAATGGTCAATACACTCTAAAACCCAGCAATGAAAAAACTGAAACATTAACCTTACTTTCTTAGGTTAGTTGAAAGCAATAATATTAAGTTGAACTTATTTAAATGTAATATTATTGCTTTCAACTAACCCAATACAGTTGTGTGAAATCTGTTGACATAATACATTTAATTAAAGTCAATGTTTCAGCTTTTCAGTGAGCAATAACCCCACCTCTCCCATGATGCCTTACTGTGGCGTTGCCGGGCACGCTGTGGCTGCCAGGCTCCGGGCCGCTCGGCCCCTCGTGGCTCTGCGAGGACTGGTACATGTTGAGGGGGTGGTCGCTGACGGAGGCCTGCACCGCAGGGTAGTCCTGCAGGGCCGCCGGGTGCTGGTGCGGGTGGGAGTGTGGATGGGGGTGTGAAGCTGTGAACTCTGGGATGCTGTTCTGGGGAGGAGGGGCAAATTGGGCTGATGGGTAAGCCTGGGCCATGGATGGGTCCGGGGGTGCCGGTGTGTCCTGGTTACCCTGTGGACAAAGAGATTCACCGTTTATTTAGAGGAACATTTCCACATTCCATTCTCACTTCCTTCAATCCCAACTTTAGAATGGTTTTTCAGTAGTTCAATTAATGTCATGTGTTATGGCAATTTAGTTGCAGGCGTCTATGAATGGCACTGTGGGGAAGTTGGACACTATAGTCCAGACTAAGACATCACCAAGACATTTGGTCAATTAACATTATTTCCAGACATTTGTGATGAAACTAATAATCTTGGTGATCACCTGACTTTTTATATGGCTCCACGAGCTGGTTGTCATTTTTAATTTAAATATGTCAGCAACTTCTGGATGTATCCTAATGACTGGTGATCGTCTAGCGCAGTGGTTCCCAACCTGGGGGGAGCGTGAAGCTTGGGGAGAAGTTGTAAACAAACATTTTTTGCTCGTAAAATCTATAAAATTGACACATTTTTAACACAACCGGCAGATAAAAGAAAAGTGGACGCGCCCACGACAAGCCTTTCAGCGATAATTCCCAAATTAACAAAGTATGATGAGGCATACATCTCCCTTGACATCTAACGTGGTCGGTGGGGAGATCTCTCTCTCTCTTTCTCTCTCACAGACTCGCTGCATTACCGTGCACACAGAGATCTGCCGGCGGAGCACAGAGCGTTCAAAAGTGACAATGTACAAGGCTCGATGTGGTCAATGCTCGTTTGCCATAAGTATTTTCGCATTAACGCGGAAACACAAGCAATCTGTCCATCAGCTGGCCAAAAGGCATCATATTCATACGGAGAAATGCACCGTTTTCAACATCCTTAACTCAGAGTTCTGTTGACCCGATTACATGTAAGGTGGAAGAAGTACTCAGATCAAGTACTTAAAGGTGGGGTAGGTAATTTTGGAGAAACCAGCTTGAGTGCGCTAGAATTTGAAAATACACAGCCGGAAGAAATCTGCTACTTCCTTAAGGCCCGTCCACACGGTGGCGTGCGTTCACGCTTCTGCCCATTCACTTTCAATGGGTTGACGTCATGCTTTGCCAAACTGCATTGTGGGAGTGTTGCTTCGCGTTGCTCGCTTCAAAAGTTGAGCAATGTTCAACTTTTGAAGCTTCGGCGGAAGCGTCAGCCAATCGAATCATATGCCAGTACAAGCTCTAGCCAATCAAACCGCGTGCTTGTGTGTCCGGGACGGGAGATTCATGTGATTGGTTGTTGGTCGAGTTTCAACGCATGCCGCCATGTGGACGCTGCGTTACAGAGCCCCTCCTCCAACACACACGAACGCGCACATGACCAATGAGGGCACGAGATAAGTTTGTGCACAGATGGAAGGCTGACAGGCAGGTAGGCCATCCAGGTATTTTAGCCGGCTCAGATGATTGGTCGTAATTTTTACAGTACCACGGCTTCCAACAGATTAATTTTTTTATGGATTTTTTGTCAAAGCACTTAAGATATTCATTGCTATCGGGTGTTAAGAGCATTCCATGGAATATAACAAAAAGTGTATCTCAAGCAGGTTTCTCAAACGTACCTACCCCACCTTTAAGTAAAAGTAGTATACTGCAGGGTAGCTTGTGAATTTACTCCAGATGTAACTAAAGTCTGATTTAAAAGTTGATTATATTTCACATCATTCATCCAAAACTGTAAAGTAACTAAAGGTATTAAATACATGTAGTGGGGTAAAAGTACACCATTTACCTCTGGACTGTAGTGGAGCAGAATTACAAAGAAGCAAATGGAAATAAGTACAGTACTTGACTAAATCTACTTAGTTACTACCACCACTGCAGGTATGTGTGCTAGCAGCCCATAATCCACACTATACTGTACATAAAATAAATCAATGTTAATTCTGTTTCCAATTTGTTTAGTTTTAAAAATAACCTATACAAATAGTGTTAAAGAACTGGATCGATAAAACATATTTGTAATTGTTTCAATTAGGCCTCATTATTTCACAGTGGCACAGGATCATCTGCCAATACAAGCACTTTCGTTTTGTTGTTCAATCCATAATAAAATAAAAAATTCTAGTTGGATCTTTTTTTCTTGTTATTATTAGCAGAGAAAATGTAATGTTTGTACAACTATATACAATTAATCCTACCAATCTCGGTGGGAACCGGGTTGGGGGGGGCTCGAAAAATATTTCCAATTATCCAAGGGGGGCCTCACTGAAAAAGGTTGGGAACCACTGGTCTAGCGTCAACATTTTAATATTTGTACCTGCAAACCTATGATAGCTTTTCTTTTGTGATGGCATGCTAACATGCTAAACTAAGGTGTTGGTACATGGTGGGTGTTATCTGATTATTACCAGTCGCATCAGGAGACTCATTAGGGACCTGAGAGCATGTTAGCTTATAAGTAGATTTAAAAAAGGCTTTGGCCACCTCAGCTGCCTTTGTCAGTCATGTGACCCATCTTCATGATACAGCGATCAGATCTGACCATAATGTGAACGCACAGACCGTGCCATCAAACAGATTCATATTGAAAGTAAACACTGGTGAAAAACTGTTTTTTCTCCTCACAAAATGTAAAGTCTTTTAGGGTACAAACTCCCTAAGCTAATGAAGGAAAACCAACAAGACTTGTTTCACTTCCAGGGTGTCAAATACAGATCGGCATTTTCATACCAACGTGAAAATACCTCTTTTATAGTCTGAATGACGTGCGATAGGCTTTAAACTAACCCTAATGTCAATCATGCCCATCATTGGACACTCGGAGCATCAGCCAGTAGTAAGAGCAAAACAGTCTGCACTTGACGCTGGCCATAGGCGGCCAATGAGGCTCAGGATACGGAAGGCTATTATTTAACCAACTTAACTCGTACTTTTTTTAAACACAGCAGAAGACGTTATTATGTTTATAACAGCAACTCTATGCACCTGTTGACCATCAATAAAGCACAGCACAGGAGCTACAGAGGCTGGATGTTCATAGCATGATGCTAATGAATGAAAATGATGCCTGGCTAACATATTATCTTTTGTTTTGTTTGTTAGTTAATTAGTTTATTTATTATTTTTGAACACTTTATTCCTGTTATTGGTAACTGTCAGATATTTTTTGTTTTTTTACGATTAAAGACAGTTTACAACCAATAATCAAGCATGTATAAAGTGGAATAACACAAAGCTCAGAGTGGTGCAGTGATGACATATTTTTGTAGGCCGACACGGAAGTTAGCTTCTTTTGCTTGTTGCCTGTATTTTTTTGGTAACTGGCTTTTACTGTTACACAGTTAAGATGCAGGTTACTTGTTAAATCCTATACAACAAATCTAAACAAGATGCAAACACAACATGTACAACAAAAAGCTTGAACAAATTGGAACAACAACCAAAATCTGTGGATTTACTAAATACTGTTACTGTGCTAACATACATACATCTTACAACAAGCTGTAATCTGAACACGCCACAAAACCTCAGATGTAGCATACGTTGAGCTACTCTGACATCGGCTGAAAAGTCATCAAAACATAACAAACATACATGTATACATATTTAAACCCAAACCATGATCTTATCTCAGAGCATTATCAAGAAGTTGTGTTGCACAACCAAAACATGACCATTTCAAAACTGTAACCATGGCAACCCACATAAACCACACACAATACATTTCAAGTACTATACTAGTATACTTTTGAGAATACTTGTACTTTACTTGAGTATTTCATTATCTGCTACTTTGTTCTTCTTCTCCTCTACAGTTCAGAGGTAACTGGTGTACTTTTCCTCCACTACATGTATTTAATACCTTTAGTTACTTTACAGATGTGGATGAATGATGTGAAATCTAATCAAGTGTTAAATCAGACTTTAGTTCTACCTGGAGTAAATCCACCAGCTACCCTGCAGTATACAAAGCCATTCAAACTAGCTGCACCTTTACCAGCTTTGAGAACACTTTCATGATCAATCATTATAAAACACATCATATATATTATTCTGAAATGGACCAATCTGCACAACGACTACTTTCACTGTCGCTACTTTCACTATATTTTGATGAGAATACATTTGAATGCAGGACTTTTATTGTAACAGAGTATTCCTACACTCTGGTACTTCTACTTTTACTCAAGTACAATATCTGAGTACTTCTACTTTCAGTACAAGATCTGAGTACTTCTACTTTTACTCAAGTACAATATCTGAGTACTTCTACTTTCACTCAAGTACAAGATCTGAGTACTTCTACTTTTACTCAAGTACAAGATCTCAGTACTTCTACTTTCACTCAAGTACAAGATCTGAGTACTTCTACTTTCACTCAAGTACACGATCTGAGTACTTCTACTTTTACTCAAGTACAATATCTCAGTACTTCTACTTTCACTCAAGTACAATATCTGAGTACTTCTACTTTTACTCAAGTACAATATCTCAGTACTTCTACTTTCACTCAAGTACAAGATCTGAGTACTTCTACTTTCACTCAAGTACAAGATCTGAGTACTTCTACTTTTACTCAAGTACAAGATCTCAGTACTTCTACTTTCACTCAAGTACAAGATCTGAGTACTTCTACTTTTACTGTCGCTACTTTCACTATATTTTGATGATAATACTTTTCTACTTTCACTTGAGGAACATTTTGAATGCAGGACTTTTACTGTAACAGAGTATTCCTACACTCTGGTACTTCTACTTTTACTCAAGTACAAGATCTCAGTACTTCTACTTTCACTCAAGTACAAGATCTGAGTACTTCTACTTTCACTCAAGTACAAGATCTGAGTACTTCTACTTTTACTCAAGTACAAGATCTCAGTACTTCTACTTTCACTCAAGTACAAGATCTGAGTACTTCTACTTTTACTCTAGTACAAGATCTGAGTACTTCTACTTTTACTGTCGCAACTTTCACTATATTTTGATGATAATACTTTTCTACTTTCACTTGAGGAACATTTTGAATGCAGGACTTTTACTGTAACAGAGTATTCCTACACTCTGGTACTTCTACTTTTACTCATGTACAATATCTGAG